CATCACTTGTAACAATTGATATCGCACTCACATAGTTACAAAAGACCTCCACAGTCCTAAAGCCTTTCAACCAGCATAGCTCCAAACCTTTATAAATGCTTAATATTTTAGAAATTGTAACAAGAACATGCTCAAGCCTTTGGTTAAAGCCTACTATCCAAGATCCATTAGTGTCTTTAATGACCCCACCACACGCACTATGCCGGTCCCTGAGTGTGGAACTATCTACTTCCAAGCTTACTGCATCTTGAGGCCTTTCTTGCACAGAAAGTGGTACTGGCTTGATTTTATAAGACTGTAGTTTGCCTGTTAGTTTGTAATCAGCTGCCGCCTTATAGATGAAATCATGAGGCTCCTCAAGGGTTTCTCCCTTTCAGTCATTGAAAAGTACAGAACATCTTCTTCTCCATATACTCCAGCAACTATAGGCAAAAAGAACATCCCGTGGAACAATCTTTGTTACAGAGTTTCTTATTTGCGTCGACATATTCCAGCTCATCCGCTCTCCTTATATGGCAGTTTGAAAATTTTTTCCTCTAAGTCTGTGCAAACATATTGTCTCCACCATCGCTTAGCATGCCGCCATTCACGAAATAGGTGCATTGTATCCCCCCTTCATTACATCTAAACGAACACAGCTTGTTGATATGTAATCCTCTACTCATTTGAAGGTCTGTTTGGACTTTATTGCTCACCATTTGCTAGAAGAGTATTTTAACCTTTTTCAGTATCCTCTAATGCCAAATATGCCTCCACAAAGACTCCTTGCTATCCCCTTCACTTGTAATAAGAGAAAGATAACCAGATTTTACAAAAAAAAATCATCAATAGAATACAACCAAGTGTGTTTATCCTTTCCTCTCTCTTCACTCAGGGCTCTAATGTTGATAATGAGATCCACTACCTCTCTCGATAGCTAAGATACCATTGTGAAAACATTCCACCCTCCTAATGAGAGAATATAATCTCCGACTGTCTCATTTAAATCAGTAAACTCTCTACCTAATTACACCAAATTAAATAAGGGTTGTTTGTTAGGAAGCCATCTATCAAGCCAAAAAGAAGTCTAATTTCTTGATAGAACGTATTTCCCTGACCCTATTGGATGGATTCCCAATCTTTAGTAATGCTTTTTCATATGATAGAGGCTCCCGTTCTTTGTTTAATACTTGGTAAAATGCACCATCCACACCTGTATTTTGTTCTCAAAACTTGTACCCATAGTGTCTCAGGTTTAGTAACCAAGCCCCATCAAAGCTTTCAGATAAGAGCCACATTGGTATTTCAAATTTCTTAAACCCAGGCCTCCAAATTCTTTTAGTTTTTGGATATCTTCCTATGTCATGGGATGTACCTTATTAACACCTTCGGTTTCACCCTATGAAAACTCCCTACTAGCTTTTTCTAGGTCATTTATGACTCCTAAGGGAAAGAAAATAGTCTGCACACAATAACTTGGAAGAGATGAGATTATTGACTTGAACAGCACCGACCTACCTATTAGGGTGAGGTATTTGCACTTCCAGCCTGATAAGCGCTTTTTGGCTTTAGCTAAGATGGGATCGAACAAGTTGTATGTGACTCTCTTATTGATGAGTAGAATGCCTAAATACTTGCCCAGATCTCCCGTTATTCCTGCTCTTAGATCTCTACTATGTTTTAAAGATCTGTTGAGATGAACGTTGGATGAGACAAATAGCTTAATTTTCTCTCTATTCACCTTCTCTCTTGAAATTTCACAAAAATTAGTAATACATCTATTCATCACTTGCACTTATTGTCGAGAAGCTTCACCAAACAAAACTAAATCATCTGCAAAGAATAGGTGCGAAAGAGAAGGACCATCATTGACAAGTTGAATAGGTTTCCACCTACCCTTATAGAACATATCACTGATAACATGACTCAACTTTTCCATACAAATAGTGAATATGTATGGGGATGGCGGGTCACCTTATCTTAGTGCCATAGGTGGTTTAAACTCCACCGACAGCTCACCATTCCACAACACCTTGGTACTTGAGGTATTGATGTAGGCCGTAATGATATCACATAACTTGTCTTCAAAACCCACCTCTCTCAAACAACTAAAAATGAAGGGCCATTTAAGACAATCATAAGCTTTTTTAAGGTCAACTTTAAAAGCCACGGAGTCCTCTTTCCTTGTTCATTTCATCATAGTATTTATAACTTCCTGTGCTATGATAATACTATCCTCACTTTGCCTTCCAGCAATGAAGCTGCTCTGATGGGCTCCAATAATTTTATCCAAGAGACCCTTAATTCTATTAACAATGACTTTAGAGACAATTTTGTAACTAACATTACACAAGGAGATTAGTTTGAAGTCCTTTATACTCCATCATTATTCCCTTTTAGAATGAGCACAGTGTGATTTTTATTTATTTCCTCCACTTTTCTTAGATCCCTAAATATATCTTTAACTAACCCACAGATAGAAACGCTAAGAGACTGCTAATAGTGTTGATAGAAAATAGCTTGGATGCCATCAAGTCCTGAAGCCTTAAAAGTTCCCATATCAAAACTAGCCCTTTTAATCTCTTCATGTGAAACCCTGCAGGCGAAAGTAAGAAGTTCCTCTCTACTTAAATTCGAATACGAAGAAACTATTTTCAGCCCCTGTTGTTCATTCAATTCAAATTTGTAAAACCTTTGTAGTACTCTAAAGCCACACTTTTCAACCTATTTTGATTGAAGCACCATGTCCCCTCGCTATCTTTGAGGGCCTCAACTTTGTTCCTTCTTTTTTTCTTTATGGCAATAGTAACATGGAACTAAATCTTTCTTATCAATTTTTCTAACTTGTTAAAAACATGATAGATTATTGTTATTTTACAAACATTAATTAATCACGAATAAATCAATTCAATTAAAATTAACAATAATCTATTATGGTTTAAATAAGTTAAACAAATTGACAAGAAGAGTTTAGTTGTACACGTTAGTCATTCATTAATAAGTATTTGTTTGGTTTTGACAACAATCTATTTGTTATTGATAATAATACATTGGGACGTTTAACAAGTAAAATAAGTAAAGTTTTAAAGTCTTTAATTTATAATTGTCCATGTCAGATTAATGAGTAACATTTGTAAAATAACAACAATTTATTTGAAAATAATAACAATCTATTATGATTTTAACAGGTTAGAAAAATTAATAGGAAGGGTTTAGTTGTATGTGTTAGTCATTTATTAATAAGTATCTATTGAGTTTTGACAATAATTTATTTGTGATTGATAATAACATATTGAAATATTTAATAAGTAAAATGAGTGAAGTTTTAAAACTCTAAAATTATAATTGTCTATGTCAGATTAACAAGTAACATTTGTAAAATAACATGCTTCGTTCAGAAATTAACAACACACTATTATGTTATTATATAGAAGTGGTTAGAAGCTTAGTTTATTACTTATATTTATTTTTTGCTCTATGTTATTAAATGGTTTGGCAAGCTTTTTAGGTGGCCAAGTGTCCCGAGATCAAAACCTCCCTTGGTCATCTAAACCAATTATCTCTAAAATAAAATGTTGTTGACGCTGAAGCTCCAACGACCGACCACCAGTAGTAGAGGTTCCTGTGACCTCGCCGTTAAATTGTTGGCGCTGGTAAGGGTTTCTTACTTTTTTTAGTTTTTTAACTTGAGGGACAATTCTACCATCTCGCTTATGAAATTAATAAAAAAAAGAACCAGAGGACTTTAGAGCAAATATGAAACCATTTAGTTCTCATGTGATATAAATTTATACAATAGTCCTTAAATGCCATTTTTCCTTGTTAATTTTAAAGTGGGGAGAAACAAAGACGGCAAGGATCACATTGACATCTATATTAATATATACATGAAGAAGTCTAGTATTTCAGAAAGAATGTTACATGTAGGCCTTTTGAAATCACTAGTAGAAACATTAAGAAATGAAGTAGACGTTTATGATTTATCTCAGAGGATTGGGCTAATGATATTATCGAAATCGCTTGACTCTTCCTTACAAGAGATTGGACTATTCCTTTTATTTTTGTACCAAAGAAGCAAACATTTTCCTGATCTCTTTGTTAAAAGGTGGTAAATGATGATAGGAATATTATTTTCTATACTCATTAATTTGCATTGTCTCTATTAGTTTATTTGATATATATAGTTTCTGTATTTATTTAAAAAAAAAAGATTGAAGCGGCTCAATGTGCTTCACTTTCCAAACACATATAATGGAGTAACTAATGGAACACATAATCTATGCTGCTATTATACCCACCAAATACGTGAACTACTCATCCGAAATTTATGGCAATAATTATCCCATGCATAGATTTAAAACTAGTTAATATGTAATATAATTATCAACAGATTGTCCTCCGTTTTTTTTTTTTTGACCAGCAACAGCCTGTCCTCTTAATTTACTAATTTTCTACGAGACATGATTTAAAACATCTTCTAAAATCCCTACTTGATCTAAATATAAGATGTTAGATAGTTTGTATAATTATTTATTTAGCTATACTCCTATTTCATTTATTAATATTTAAAATTAAATAGTATATTATAATTTCAATTGTCATCTTTAAGATAATTATATAAATGATATTTAATGATAATATAATTAAAAAGATATGATTCTTTAAAAGATTAAAATTTTTTCAAAATTTTTTTAGAACTGTAAAATAATTATACCCTATATTATTAGTTGCGAGCAAATAGCATTATCATTCATTGTTATTTTTAGTTTTTTAAAATATTAAATTAAAATTTTAGGGGTGGGATGATGCTGCTCTCCAGATGTAATTTTTGTACTAGACTGTCAATTATGAGTTATATTATATTTATTTGGCTAAAAAAAAAACAAGAATTGTTATATTTAATTAAAAGAAGACGGATGGGCGAATCATTCTTTCCTACTATTGCAGCATGGGTGGCGCCATTTTGCCTAATGTTACACGAGGCGCGTGTTTGTTCTGTCGTGCACTACACTATTTTCCTCGTGTCCCTAGACGAAGTGTCAACTAGCAGCCATGGGCCCGAGCATGCAATCATCGAGGTCCTTCGCTGTCGAGCAACGGCCTGAATTCAACATCCCCTGAACAAACGCTAGAATCTTCGAGCAAACCCCAAGCACAGCCCCTATATATTGCTCCCTTTTCTACCCAAATCTTGCTATTTGCCTTGATCGTGTTGTCTCGCTCTACGTGTTTTGGTGAATCCAAGGTCAGCTATTTTCCTCACTCCTCGTCATTTTTCCTCAAATTTTCAGTATTATTATTTGTTTGTTTCCAAGCCTTGATCGTTTCCCTTCAAGGATTATATATGTTTGGTTATCGAGAAATTACTATCAAATTTGTACGATTAGGCGAGCTGTTTTATTATCTAACTGTAGAGCTTCATAAGTTACGAAATAGCCGAAGGGTTTGATCGAGTTGAAAGTTTTTGCTCAATCCCTTATTTATCATTCTCTGCTGCTCTAGAATCCACTATTACGAATTTCATGGGGAAGAGTTACCCTGCTGTTAGCGAGGAGTATCAGAAAGCCATCGAGAAATGCAAGAAGAAGCTCAGAGGGCTCATTCAAGAGAAGCATTGTGCTCCCATTATGCTCCGATTGGCGTATGATCATTCTCCATCAGTTTTTTTTTTTTAATGCGCATGTGCGTGTGTGGCAAGTACATATAATACTTACTGGGCTGCGAACCGTCATTTGTGATGCAGATGGCACTCAGCTGGTACCTTTGATGTGAAGACGAAGACAGGAGGGCCATTTGGTACCATAAGGCACCCAGCAGAGCTCGCCCATGAGGCAAACAATGGTCTTGACATTGCAGTCAGGCTTCTGGAACCGATCAAGGAGCAGTTTCCAATAATATCCTACGCTGATTTGTATCAGGTATATATTTCTCGAACAATTAAACATCTACCGATCGTTGAACTTTCTCGAATTTGATTTTAACTTATAAATAGCTTGTGTTTGTGTTTTACTGAAGTTAGCCGGAGTTGTGGCAGTAGAAGTTACTGGAGGACCCGAGATTCCCTTCCACCCTGGGAGAACGGTTAGTAATCATGATATTTCGAATTGTGCCTTCATATGTTACGACTTACAGTTGATTAGCGTTATTTTAAGCTCCATGTCAGATGCTGTAGCTTTACGATTGATTAGCGTCATTTTATCTCCACATTAGATGCTGTAGCTATAGCGACTTCTCTATCTTATTATTTTTTGAAAGAGTCTTTTCGTTCCGATTCTTTACTCTTTAGTCAGTTCTCTGTTTTTTGATGCAGCTGATGCCATTAAAGTAATTAAACTATGTAAACATATTTATCAAGCCATTTAATCTGGCACTTGTGCTGTGATTTATTTCCGCAGTCTCATAAATAGTTTGATCACAGCCTTGGTTCTGTCTTCTGCGAGTTTGTGTTCCGGAAATCAGAACAACAGGGCAATTTTGATTGCATTATTAGCATCCGTGGGCTTTCCAGTGATAAAATCCATGGGTTTCGGATACAGAATACATCTCAGCCTTCCGTGATTAGATCTCTTAATTTTTTTCAGCACGTGATTTGAAGAACTTAATGACAAACTTTACAAAAACTTTAGTTCTTATGAAATGAATGGCCTTCTTTTGGATGAGGATTACAGAGAGTGGGCGGTCCACAACTCTGCTCTTCATCCTAGAATTTGTACATGTGATGTGATAATGTGTTCACTGTTGCTTCCAGAATCCTACCTACTCTGATTAATTTGTGCTTCCACCATAAGTTAAGTAGAAGGTTTTGTAAACAACACTGCGTTCTAGCATTTTGATATTGACATACGTTTACAGAGAGAATCAGAGACTTGACAAGTGTCTTTTTGTCCACAGGACAAAACTGAACCGCCTCCAGAAGGTCGCTTACCAAATGCCACTAAAGGTTAGTAGTTTTTATAATTCAGACATGTAGAAGTTTCTTGTTAACCTATCAAATATTTACAAACCGTTCTTGTTAAAAAAAAAAAAAAAAAAACAGGCTCGGATCATTTAAGGGATGTCTTTGGTCACATGGGTCTATCTGATAAAGATATAGTTGCTTTATCTGGGGGCCACACGCTGGTATGATCTGAAAAATGGAGTTTCTTTAGTAGCTTATTTGTTGGACTTTTTATTGTTTAAACTTTTAGAGCAACATATAGCATGATGGTAAACGAGTATGTTGGTTGTGGTCATCAAACATTATGCAGGGAAGGTGCCACAAAGAACGCTCTGGATTTGAGGGACCTTGGACACATAACCCCCTCTTTTTTGACAACTCTTACTTCAAGTAAGGAATCCTTTTATTTTTGAAATTGACGATACTATATTAAGGTGTATTGACAAATATAATTTCTTTTGTTTTCATGCATCATCTGTTCAAAGGTGCTTGGTGCTGGAATCTCTTTCTATTATATTAAATACTGGGCAATAATTTGTACACCTTACTGGTAAAGGAAAATGCCCCCAGGGAGTGTGCTGCACCTGCCTCTATGGTTTGTGATACACGTGACTAACCAAGTGGGGCTAAATAGCTGGCACAATCAATCAATTAATTAATCTTAAAAGAAAAAAAAAATCACTGAACTGCGAAGTAAACAGGGGATAGACTGACCAACAAAATCATCTGACTGTGATTTTCGAAATGAACAGGGAACTTCTCAGTGGAGAGAAAGAAGGTTTGATTCAGCTGCCGTCAGACAAGGCCCTCCTAAGTGATCCAGTCTTCCGTCCTCTTGTTGAAAAATATGCTGCCGTGAGTATCTGCATTTTCTCCCAACCCTCTTCTGAAATAGATTGCTATATGGTTGGGTGAATAATCTAGTTTGTATACTGAGTTTAGAATTCGTTCTTGAATTCTGATTCAGGAGGAGGATGCGTTCTTTGCAGACTATGCTGAAGCTCATCTGAAGCTTTCAGAACTTGGGTGAGTGGGAAACATTCCTATCCAAGCAACTTTCCCATTTCTGTCGTGTCTTGATGTTGATTTTGACGGTTGATTTTATCTTGGTCTTCATCAGATTTGCAGATACAGAGTAAGATCTAATGAGAGACGTTGCTGTTTCTGCTTTTTCAAGTCCAGTCTTGAGCAGTGGTTCTTATGCTTGTTTTATGAGTATTGAAGTGGTTTATCACTTTTTTTTGGCCCATATAATAGTCTGTCAGAGCTTATCATGGAGCTATGAATGAAATTGATATGTCATTGCAATCACTGGCACCTGTTAAGTGAACTGTCGTATGTCTTTGGTTTGATAGTTGTTGAATTGTGGAAGGGTGCCTAAATAGACTTCATTTTGATTTACCACAGTTGTTGATATTACTAGTCTTGGTACATTTCAATTATGCAACATGAAAGAAGACACGTTGTGGGGCTTAAAATGAAATTATTTAAGAGGTATAATATATTATCCTTTATCTATCTTTATATTATTATTATTTTTTATTTTTTAACAGCAAAATTAAATATTAAAATTTCATACTTAAGTAATTTTAACATTTCACTTTCAATAATATAGCAAACCATTTAATTTATTTTATAATATGATTGATTTCAAGACTTAATTAGTTTTAATTTTGAAAAAAAATTTATTACTCATAAAGATTCTTTTATTCAAGGCACGGTTAAGTGATAAATGTGAGTATTTTTTTCATTAAGAATTTAAATTTTAATTTACCGTGTTGTGAGTAATTCAGAAAACTTATTTTAGCTGTGGCAAAAAATTTTAATGAAAAAAATATAATTAACAATGATGTTTGATGGAAAGCTAATGATAAAACTTTTGGATTAGTTTGGGTGAGAGATGGTAATGTTTTCTAGTTTTTCAAGATACGGTAGAATGAAAAAGAAAGAAAGATGATAATTAGTTATGTAGGGTGCAAGCAAGTATTAAATTCTTGATGAAAATATGTAATTATCATTAATGTTTAACAAAAACAATAATAGTAACCAGCTATATATGATACAAGTAAACATTTTTTGAGGTTTTTGAGGCATAGGAAAATGCTTTATCAGCCCAGTGGCTTTCACGGCCCTGCACACAGATTACTACAGATTCCCTGGTCCCATTTATACCAAATTCATAATGCTTTCATGAAGAAATAGTGTTGTGCCGATGATCAGCGACCAACTATCTTGGATAAAATATTGCAGAAACGCGATGAAATATGGTCAACTTAACTTTTCTTAAACCTAATAACTTTATCTTGGTTGGTTGGCATAGAAACTTAAAACATGAAACCTTTTCCACGTTCTCCGACTGTGCAGAGAGCACAAGATAAATAAGCTTTATGAACACGAGAGGATGGGGGACTATTTCGACGAAGATACGACGATTAGATTAGTAATAAAAGCAACTGATTTTCATTGCACAATTTCAATGACAGCATTAAATTTTTTTAGCCATAAATATAGGATCTTTTTCGCCTTTACTCCTAAAGATAACAGGTATCGAAACCAAAAAATAATATTGCAGTTCAAGGAATAAAGGGGGTTCGATCGACAAAAACGTCCCAGCTCTTTGTATTTGCTTAATGGTGCGAATAATTATATATGTTTACTTCTTTAAAATTTAAATTACTGATCACCATAATCCAGTTATTTCCAATGTCATCGTCGTCAGCCACCAATCACTCGCAAAGTCACTCCTCATCTCTCATCACCGTGGGTTGTCCATTGCATTGTCAATCGTCCTCAATCATCACAGCCTCACATTTCTTCGAGTTCGCTGTTGCGTCCTCAATTGCTGGCCTCAAACTTTGGCCCGCCTGATTCTTTGTCAAGTATTAGGGAAATTTTTTTTATTATGCCTAGATAAAAAAATTTAAGATTAAAGTATACTTTTAGTTTTTTAACCTTATATAAGGTTTCAATTTGATCATTTAATTTTATAAAATATCTTTTTAGTCTTTTAAATCTAACATTGTTAGTTTTAAATAATTATTTTTTGTGTCAATCATTATTATTTTTTAAAAAATAAATTTAATGTGTCAATATTTGAAAATATTTTATCAATTTTTAAAAATTTTATGTAAAAATTTATCAGGATAAAACTAATGATGTTAATATTAAAAGATTAAAAAAACTTTATAAAGTTAAGAGATAAAAATAAAAAATTGTGTAAAGTTAAAAGATTAAATGTATACTTTAGCCAAAATTTAATATATTAATTTTTAACTATTATACATGATCTTAAATGTAAAATTTTAAATACAAAATCTAAATTTAAATTCGAATTCAAATTAATCTATTCAAACTGATTTTAAAAATTTATTATCCCAAATTATAAGATAATTTTAAAAGAATTTTTTATTCTAATACATGATACAGTTTGAGAAAAATAAGATTTCATTAAAAATATTTTTCTAATATCATCTTTCAAGTGAAAAAAAATTAAAATGATATTATAATGTAATAATTAAATGTGTAGAGACATCTTTAAAAGTTTATAGTGTTGTTATGAAAAAAATAAATTTGTAAAGTGTTATTAATATGTACTCACTCTGTTCAAGAATGTGAAGTATTTTTAACTGAATCTTGTTTCTTAATAAAGTAGCTACCTACTTTCTAACTAACACTATCTTTTTATATTTATTCCTATGAAACATTATATAATAAATATAAATTTATTTATTGATAGAAATACTTTTAAAAAATAATAATTACACCTTAAAAAATTAAAAATGTTTTATATTTTTTGAATATTTAACTTTTAAAAAAATGTTCTACATTTTAAATAAAGAGGATATTTTTTTATTTTCAATTATTTTATAGGTTGAAACATACGAGCGTCATATGTTTATCGTCATGTCATAAAATGGATAGGAAGAATTTATGATTCATGAAAGCACATCAAGTGGATCGCCCTTCTTCAAGATTTCTGAATACTTAGAGCTTAAGAAAGGTCAGATTAGTTTAATACTGACCAGATACCATTATAGAGCAGAGACCCAAAAGCAAATGGCAAAAGGAAACGCATACATATAGCACCACTATGCCTGCCTGTATTCGTTTTCCTTGGGGCAAAGTAGTTTGCTCGTAAATTGTGAAGTCGTGCAATTCAAAGTTCAAAAGCCAAGGGGATAAAAAAGTAGTGGCGTTAAAAATTTCCACTCCATTGATTATTCTGCCATCTTTTTTAAAAGCTGTCAAACTTAATTCTTTTTATTTTGTTTTGTTTCACAAAAGCTCGTCATCATTCGCTCTCCAAAGTAATCCAAAGCCAGTTGGTGATTCCGATAATCCGATCCCCACCTTTTGTTTTCACCCGCTCCTGGTATCCTCCTAATCCAATTATAAAAGATAATTAAGAGACTCGTTTTAGTGTAAAATGTAAGACAACTATTCATTTTCTCTCTCAAATTTATAATTTTTTTTTCAAATTTTCCCTCTTAATTGCATGTATTAAAAGGCTGTCCGCATCAGTTGGAATTGTTTTCCATGCGAGTGATTAAAGGAGTATTCTAAGAAATCCAACACATATTTTTTTTTTTCACAAATAATAACTAACTCGAATTAATTTTCGTAATCTCTATAAATGGAGTAGATATCCACCTTGGGTCACGAGGGAGTAAGCAATTATGTTTGTTTTCATGACAACGTTTATATAATATGAAGATAAAAATTTTCAATCAAACCAATAAGAGTTAAAAACAAGTCAGTTTCACGTCATAAATGCGATGATCTTTGTAGAAGCTACTGCACCACACGGTGTAAGTTACGATTTTTCTTTTGGTCAGCGTGTATGCCACGAATTTACTTCATATTTAAATTTAAATCTCTTAAATAACATTTTTTTAAAAAATATTATCTCTGAAAAAAAAATTAAATCATGCAAGTATAAACATATCAACCCCAGATTCAAAAACAAAATCTGGTATGAGAAAAGATTAGATTGTTACTCGAATAACTAGCCATAACGTGCGTGTAGCCCTTTTTTTTTAAAAAAAAAAAACATGGGAGTGAAGAGCAAAGGGTGAAGCAATAGAAAGAAGGAAACGTACAGCCTTATTAGCAACCGCCCTTGGCCTGCACCCAGCAGTAGGACCACCGGGGATGTTTGGGATGGCTGAAGAGTTATTGATCTTCAATTTTCTACGTCTTTAAAGGAGCAATAACAAAAGCAACAACTATTTGCAGTACTGACATGATAAATAAACGTTTTTTAATGATAAATAATAGGGTAATGAGGATATTATTATTTGAACTAAATATAAAACGTTGTTCAAATAAGTTACAGAGTTAGTTGAATTAAGTAATTAAAATATCAGGCTCAATATAAATGAAAGGAGTCGGCCTCGAGATTCAATAAAAGTCACAATAAGTAAACATGTCAAAATTTTGTCAGTTATAAATATTAGACCGTTGGCACAAAAGTCACAATCTTAAATAATACTGAAATCTATGCTTAAGTATCTTGATAAAATGGGTTAGTTATTAAGATGAAGAGTATATAATAAAGACCATGCCATGAGCTTTGTGAGATCTCTAATTTTTTGACAAAATGTACTAGGTTTCAAAGAAGAGGTTACTGCTACTCTGACACTATAAATAGAAGAAAAAAATACAGAAGAAATTAGTCAACACTCAATCAAATACTCTTACATTTGTTAGCCCTTTTTAATTTTTAGTTTTAGGTTTGTAATCTTTTTACATTTCAATAACAATTGAACACTTATTCTATCAAAACTTTGAATCTTTTTACATTTAAGTAAATTATGGTAAGGGAGCTCAAAATCTTTTGTTATCAATTGAGACTTAACGTATTTAGCACGCTTGATATTTATTGTTCACTCACAAACAATTACATTTTATTATTATATTAGTAATAATAATAGTAATAATAATTAGTAATAGTAATTGCTTGTAGGGTAAGGATCGGATTCAAAAGTTTTTAATTTTTTTAACATATATTTAAATTAAAAAAAATAAAAATAACAAAAATATTTAAATCTGTTCTTTTAAAAAATTAGAATTGAAAAAATAAAAAGTCAGTTTAGCAACTTATTTTAAAAATAATTTTTTATTATTCAAAATAAAAAAATAAAAAAACTACTTAAATATTTTTAAAAAGTATTTTAAAAAATAAAAAAATAAAATATTATTTTAAAAAATAAAAAAATAAAAATAACTTTTAACTATTTTAAAATTATTTTTTTAAAAAATAAAAAAAAATATTTTTATTATTTTTTATTTTTAAAATATATGTTATGAAACATTAATTTTTAAAATAATAAAATAAAAATAATTTTAAATATTGATAAAATATTTTGTGATTCATTCCCACGAAGAGTCTGACCAATGTCCGCCATGCTCGCTTTATGTGGGCCCCACAAAACGCCTCACCCAACGACAAGGATTGCCCGGTCCCAGAGGCCTCTCCTCATCCTGCTCTATCTCGCCACCAGGCACCAGCACTCTCTCTGCCTCAACTCTCGAGTTCTTTTTTCCTTTTCACTGCTTCATATTTTATTTTACCAATCCGAAATTTTTTTGAAGAATCGAAGATTAAGTAGTGGTGGTTCATCGTGATTCCTCTGTGCCTGCTTTTCGACTTTCTTTTGCTCCATTGTGAGCGAGTGTGAGAGAGAGAGAGAGTCGCTTTCTCTGCCGGGTTCCTTTTCTTTCCACCATTTTTATGGTCTGATATTCTCAGTGAAGCTTTCCAAAGTAGAAATGGAGAGTAGGCTACTGCTCCTATCCTCTCTCCCTTTCTTACTGTCACTCCTCTCCCGCTTTTCCTATGCTCAAAACCCAGGTACTTCTCTTCTCCGCGCAATCTCTGTTTTGCTCACACCTATTCATTATTTTTTCTCTTCATCTGAGCTCTCTTAAGATCGAAGCTTCTTCGCTCTGCCGCCAATTAAGGTGCAAAATGGAAGTTTTAAGTCTAACTGTACCTGTTCTATCATCCCATGCTCTTGGCATTCTGATTCGTTGTATTAATTATTTGGTTTTAAGATCTTCTTTATGAGCCCCAAAGGATTGCTTACGGAGTCTGAGTTAAATAAATTCAAGAACTCCTGAGCAATTCTCTTTTCTTGTAGAGCTTTTTATGTATACTTCGAATCTCCTGGAGGAAATTGGCCTATTTACTATGCTGGTTCACACCCAGATGTGATTTTCTACGGAGTGCTTGTTTCATAATACATACACCAACAAAAAAAAAAGAGATATAACAAGATTAAGATCCAGTCTTCATATATATCATGATCTGTTGTAGGAACTTGATTCGTGGAGATTCGAGATTTTATCTCTATTGAAACTTGCATACTAGATTTTGCAATTTGCTATTAACTCACTTCATCTGCACTCTTACAATGCTTGTCATGTTAAGTAGGTTTTGTTAGTTTGGACTGCGGAGGAAAAGTAAATTTCACTGATGAACTTGGTCTTCGTTGGACTGCTGATGATAAACTGTCATTTGGGGAAACAAGCACCATATCAGTTGTAAATGAGACCCGGAAGCAGTACACAACACTGCGACACTTTCCTGCTGATTCTCGAAAATACTGTTACACGCTTAATGTTGTCAGTAGGACAAGGTACCTGCTGAGGGCGACATTCTTGTATGGCAACTTTGATAATAACAATGTTTACCCAAAATTTGACCTTTCCTTTGGGGCTACTCACTGGTGTACAATTGTTATATCTGATGCTAATACTATAGAGATGCGAGAGCTTATATTTCTGGCTACAAGTTCAGCAGTAGATGTATGTTTATCAAATGCAACGACCGGGCAACCATTCATATCTACACTTGAACTACGGCAATTCAACGGTTCAGTCTATTATACGCAGTATGAAGAACAATTTTACCTCAGTGTCTCTGCAAGGATAAATTTTGGTGCTCAGAGCGATGCTCCAATCAGGTGCTTTAAGCCTTCCTAGTTCCTATTTATAGCTTTGTAGCCTTCATTTCACATTTTCCTTCCTTAACGTGTGTACGAGCCTACAGATCTGTAATGTATATTTTGTTGTATTCACTGGGCAAAAATCAGAATTTTGTAACTGTTCTTTAAAACAATAACTAATTAGCAGATTGTTTCTAGGCGGATACATTTGTAGTTTTGCTGTCGGCTCTTGTAGGTTGAAGCAGTTTCTTTTTCTTACATTATATATATATATATATTTTTTTTTTCATTATCAGGTATCCTGATGATCCTTTTGATAGAATTTGGGAGTCAGATTCTGTCAAGAAAGCAAATTATCTTGTTGATGTCGCTGCTGGAACGGAGAAAATTTCTACCAATTTACCAATTGATGTTAACTCTGATGAAATGCCGCCAGTGAAAGTGATGCAGACAGCTGTAGTGGGTACAAATGGATCTCTTACTTACCGGATGAACTTGGAAGGTTTTCCAGGTACTGGATGGGCATTCACCTATTTTGCTGAGATTGAAGATTTGAGTCCAGATGAATCCAGAAAATTCAGGCTAGTTCTTCCAGGGCAGCCTGATATCAGCAAGGCTGTTGTTAATATTGAAGAAAATGCTCAAGGAAAATATCGCCTCTACGAACCAGGATTTACCAATTTAACCCTACCCTTTGTGCTATCCTTTAGATTTGGCAAGACGTCTGATTCTTCCAGGGGTCCTCTTCTGAATGCGTTGGAGATAAATAAGTATCTAGAGAAAAATGATGGCACACTAGATGGTAATCCCCCTAATTTGGAAACTAATGTGACACGATGAAGGGTTTTTCTGCCTACTTGAACCTGTCTAGAGTAACCATTTAATTAGTAAACCTACTTCAATTTCAACAGTTGTCAGTGAAATCTCCCATGAACAGTTGGAATTTTGTTAAATACTTCAATTGAATGATTTGCAGGAGCAGCCATTTCTGATGTAGTTTCACATTACACCTTAGCAGACTGGGCACAAGAAGGAGGTGATCCATGTCTGCCCGTTCCTTGGTCATGGGTCCACTGTAGCTCAGATCCACAGCCAAGAATAGTTTCAATGTAAAGTTTTTTTTGTGGTTATTAATTTTATTTGTCTATTAATTTGTTTTCCTTGGCCGCCCATTACAAAAATAAAGAAATAAAATCCACCATCTTGCTTCTAATGTGTTACATCACATGTATCAAAAGAGAAGTTCAACTTATCTGGTAGTACTTACCTCGTGTTCCTGGTTATGGCAGTTTGTTGTCTTCTAAAAACTTGACTGGCAATATTCCTTCAGGCATCAGCAAATTGACTGGTCTGGTTGAACTGTAAGTTTCATCTTGCCTTGTAATTTTGGTGGGAGGAGGCTACTTATTTTTCATGTTTGGTTCCATCAAACTTATATTTTGGTACTAGCATGGTTTAATTCATGGGTGCAGATGGCTTGATGGAAATATGTTGACCGGATCAATACCTGACTTCACTGGATGCATGGACTTGAAGATTATGTAATCTCTGATGACACCTTCTATCATTCATTCTTTGTGTATGTATATCTGGCTAACTACAACCTCTGCCTCTTGCAGTCATCTTGAGAACAATCAGTTGACGGGTGATATCCCTTCCTCTTTGGTGAACCTTCCAAATTTGAAGGAACTGTAAGCTATCTGAAACTGATATATTGGTTGTTTGCTAAAATTGAAAATTGATTGACTTTAGCTCATATTTCTGTGATCTTACCCAATGAGCATCTTTCCGTTGCTGACTCTGTAGTCATGTTCAAATAATATTCAAGCTTGTGCATTTCTTTCTAATTTTTTGTTTTACCATTGATGTAATTTATACGTTGCTTCTAATGCTTATAGGTATGTGCAAAATAATATGTTATCAGGAACAGTGCCATCTGGTCTTCTGAACGAAGATTTGTTTCTAAAGTGAGTATCAATATTTACTGATCAAACCTGAAACTGAAATCATGCTGCATTTTGCTTGCTTACTCCTCTTTTCAAGATACTTATTTTTGCATGTGCTTATGTAATGTTTTGACATTAGCTAGAAATGAAGTTCTAACCAACTGTCACCTGTAACTAGCTCAGGTGGTAAGAGTGATACGTGGTGTGGGTAGAAAGATTAAGGGTTTAAGACCTCCTGAATGAAGTGCTGACAGAAAACTTGATGGATTTATAAGTAGAAAAACTGATGTTGCTGATCCAGTCAGTGAAGTGGAAGACTGTTTATGCTTGCAAGGTCATAGGATGTAGAATGGCCTGATATTTCTGCATGTGCTTTCTTTTTCTTTCTTTCTTTCATTTTCCCTTCTATTTCTGATTCTTTTTAATACTTCCAATTCCAGAGTATGAAAAAAAGGAAAAATAATCATTGCTCTTGTGCGCCACATTGAACTTTTTGTGCCTTTTTGCATACCACTGAACCAACATATTGTTCTTCTCATCTCTCTCATTTCTTTTGTTCCTTTTGTATTTGCTTCTGTCCCTTTCTTAAGATTTTTCATTATTGTCCTTTGATTTATGACTTTGCTGCTCAGATAGATAATGTTTATAAATGCCTCCATCGTTGGTATATCTCGGCCTAATCTCAGCTAACACATCATATGGCAGTCTCATCAGTTTTTAGCTTTTCGAGCTTTTGATTTAGCTTCATTGAATCGCAACATTTTAATCTCTGTTAGAAGATAATATTTCTTCTAAAATCATTAGTAATTCTTTTGTGTCAAATGCTCCAATTTTCTCCTTGTACAAGATTTCCGCTGCTTACTCCTTTGGTTCTCAACAGCTATTCTGGAAACATTAATCTTCATAAAGAAAACAAAAAGAAGAGCCGCATGTTTGTTATCGTTGGTTCATCAATTGGGGCTGCTGCTCTACTCTTAGCAACAATAGGTTCTTGCCTGTTTATACGCAAAGAAGCAAGAAGAGATTATGAAGAAGGCAGGAATCTAATACCAAATTTATAGTAGTGTTGATTTTTTTAGATGGTAGAACATGAATGATTTGTTTTGATACTCTTTGCAGATCACCTTGCTTCCCTCACTTCACAAAGGCTTGCTGCTTCCAAGAGTGATGCTCCTGCTGCAGAAGCAGCTCATTGCTTTAGTTTTGCTGAAATTGATGATGCCACAAATAAATTTGAGAAGAAGATCGGTTCTGGAGGTTTTGGAGTTGTATTCTATGGGCTACTGAAAGATGGCAAAGAGATTGCTGTTAAAGTTCTAAACAGTAATTCGTATCAGGGAAAGCGAGAATTCTCCAATGAGGTGAACTACATTCAGTTAACTTCTCCATGTTTCCCAGCATTGCAGCTATCCCTGCTTAATTTGATTTATGTTACTTCCATATCATAATCTATGTATGTTTGCTTTGCTTAAAAAACTAAACAGATATGTCTATGTTCATTTGACGATTAAAATTTTGGTAGCTATTAGATGAAACGTCTTAATCTCATTCAGAGGGAACCAGTGGGGATCAAAATAACGGAGGCTACTCATTTATTAGTTTTCTTAGGACTGCCTTCCTGAACTTTGTTCTCGAACAAGGAACAATGGCTGCCCAAGCAAAATCTAAACCTTTACCTGTATTCATGCTGATTAAATTCCATGATGATCATTAGATTATGTTTCTTTTTGATCCAGGTGACTCTTCTTTCAAGGATACATCACAGAAACTTGGTACAGCTTCTTGGGTACTGCCAAGAAGGAGACAACAGTATGCTTATTTATGAGTTCATGCATAATGGAACTCTCAAGGAACATCTTTATGGTAAGACTTTGGACCATTTTTTTTTTCCATGGTAAGACTGTATGATTTGAACGAAGGAGTGGAAGTACATATGCGTATATTCAATCATGCTAAACTTCTTTTAGGTCCATTGACACGTGGGCAGAGTATCAATTGGATTAAGCGTTTGGAAATTGCAAAAGATGCTGCCAAAGGTATACGTAGCTAAATTATCATTTATAAAATACTTAAGAGGATATTATAAGTTTCTTGTTGTTCTTGTGTTTGTGGATTTAAAACAGATTGCATTTGTCTCATGCTTGTTCAGGGATTGAATATCTACACACTGGCTGTGTTCCTTCTGTTATTCACAGAGACTTAAAAAGCAGCAATATTCTTCTTGATAAACTCATGAGAGCCAAGGTTTCAGATTTTGGTCTTTCAAAACTAGCGGTTGATGGAGTCTCCCATGTTTCAAGCATAGTTCGGGGCACAGTAGGGTATTTGGATCCAGAGTAAGGCCTTAACCTTGAAAATTTGTGTTCCCTTGAGATCAAGCAAAGGATTAACCTGATCATAAAATATAAATTTAGTGTCTTGCTTTTTTGCCGTATTACTTGAATCTGAGTTGTCTTGACCGTCCAAGTCAACATCTGCTGTGTTTTTTTTTTTTTTCCGTGTAACATAAGTTAAGCTATTCCTGAACAGGTACTATATTTCCCAGCAGCTGACAGACAAGAGTGATGTTTATAGTTTTGGTGTCATTCTTCTTGAACTCATATCAGGTCAAGAAGCAATATCAAATGAGAGCTTTGGTGCAAATTGCCGAAACATAGTCCAATGGGTGAGTTTTGATTTCTCTGCAGAAACAGTAACTATGAATCAAATAGTTCTGTGAAACGATTTAACTCATTAGCTTTGATTGCACATCAGGCAAAAATGCACATTGAGAGTGGAGACATACAAGGAATCATTGATCCTTCGCTGCGAAACGAGTACGACCTGCAATCAATGTGGAAAGTAGCAGAGAAAGCATTGATGTGTGTTCAACCTCACGGGCACATGCGCCCATCAATTTCTGAAGTTCTGAAGGAGATTCAAGATGCAATCTCTATAGAAAGGGAGGCTGAAACAGTGAAGGAAGGCAATTCAGATGAAATATCAAGACAATCTGTTCATTCTTCCATGCATATGGGTCAATGGATCTTGGTGTGGCTGAGAATTACTTGTCTATTGATGAATCCATCGCGCAGCCCACTGCAAGATAGACATATTTTTAAACCTTTTCCTCTCTCATTCTCTCCTATTGTTCTTTCCTTTGTGCAGCCGCCACACCCAAAAAAAAAAAAAAGGAAAAATGTAAAATAAATAAATGATGACTTGGAAGTAGGATAACAAGTTCTCGGATGTTATAAATTGTTTACTTTAATGAGACAACTCTAGAAAGGCAACTCCACATTGCTTTTTGCCTCGGCTCGGGGCCAGTTTTTATGGAAAAGTATATCAAGAGATATGATTATGTCTTAACTCTTAAATTTTATGACAAACAATGTTATTAACAAATCATGTACAATGTAACTTAATTTTCAACTATGTAATCATGGGAGTGGGTTTGATCCCTCACTCCCGTGTTCCAAGTTATCCTTCCCTTACTCCCGTGTTAATTGTAGTTTGGTTTTAGCGGTTTTTTTTTTTTTTTTGGTCTTTTGGGGGGGGTTTATTAAAGTCATATCTTAACTGTTGTGTGATATCAAGAGCTGCTAATTGGCCAAAAAAAAATTAGCTACTAATTAATGCACTTTCTTCTAATTTGACTTTAATCTTGAATCCGCAGCAATTACTAGCTTGGAAATTGAAAAATGAAAACAAGAGTTACTTAGTAAGATTTTTGTGCTCATAATTTTTTGTTAAGTACCCATACAACAATAATAACTTAGTGAAATGCTACTAGTATTTTTTAAATTTTCATGCTAAAACGTTAAACGGCACCTAAAAGGGATGATTGAGTATTTTTAATAAGAAAACACGGTCACTTTTTAACCAATTTTGCGTTCATAATTTATTTCTGTAAAACAAAATTCAGATTTTAGGGTTAGCTTTAAAATATTTAAAATTCAATATATACTTTTGAAATGATGAATATCAACGAGAGATTAATTACATTTTAATTAAGATATAATTTGTAATTGGATTTAAGATATATATATATATATATATATTTCATTAGTAGGTTTTATTTATTTTACAAAATAATTTTGATACATTAAATATCACTTAAAATGTTGAGTGAAATATGCACATTCACTTGAGGTTATTTCGTAGAAAAACTTATACATTTAGTTTTATATATTTAAAGTACTTGTTTTAATTAATACAAAGTATGTAGATATTCTATAGATTATTTGTTCTATCATAGTTTATTGTTATTAATATTATTAATGTATTAAAATTCACTTATTTTAATTTAATTAAATAAAAAGTGTATTAAATATGTAAGATAAAATACATAAGTTTCATCCTTTACATAAAATATGGCGAGTTGAAAGGCGAGTAAATATTTTAAATCCAATTCACCCAAAAATATTTTATATTTAAACCACCCTGATATAAAAATGTATGCACTCAAGAGAAATTCTTGTATATACCTATGCATTATATCATCTAAAAACATGATATTCAAGTGATATTAAATGTGAATTGATTATAACATTAATAATATTATATAAAAATTGTAATAAATTAAATAAACATTCTATTATAAAAATAATGATGTATAGTATTTTATTTGATTAAATTAATATAATTTTATTGAATGGAACATAAATAACTTGATACATCGAGTTTATGCAAGACTTTTAGTTGTGAAAAATATACATTTAGAATATAATCTTGTTGTAGATCTCAAGGTCAAAAGGGTTAAAATTGCCTTCTAGATATTAAAAGCTGCGTATTTTTCACACTCATTTTATCAAAAATTGGTCATGCATTTTAAAATTGAAAATACAAGATTTATTGGAAGGCATTTTTTTAATAAATCTAACTAAATAATAACAACAACCGGATAGGAAAGATTGAAAGAGTCTTTGATTCAATAATTTGCAGGGCCCTTCCTCGGACTCGGAACAATGAATGTGTACAGGAACCACGTGGTCGAATCATCTGCCCAGCCTTGAGATTGAGCACAGAGCCCCGAAGGTGGAGAGAGAATACGAAATAGAAAGCAAAAAGAAGAGAGAAGGTTTGTTTATTTCTTGAATTAAAACAAAACCAACGGTGTTGATAGGACTCATTCTCTCATCTCAATCGTCTCCTTAACTCCTTCCTTCTCCAGCGTCCGATCCTTCTCCCATTCCCATCGATCTCACTCTCGCGCCAAATACAAATTCTCCACATCCCCCCAGGTACCTACTTCCCCCGCCTTATTTCTCTGTCACTCCCCCTCTCTCTAGGGTTTCGTTTCGATCCGTTTCTAGGGTTTTTCGTCTGCCTAATCGATCATGGATTTCTGTCTTTTCTTTTTCGCATTAGGTTTCCTGCAACCATGGCTGATGCTCCGGCCAGTCCCGGCGCTGGTGGTAGCCACGAGAGCGGTGATCAGAGCCCCCGCTCTAATGTCCGAGAGCAGGACAGATACCTGCCCATCGCCAATATCAGTCGAATCATGAAGAAGGCGCTTCCTGCTAATGGAAAAATCGCAAAGGATGCCAAGGAGACTGTGCAGGAATGCGTTTCCGAGTTCATCAGCTTTATCACCAGCGAGTTTGTCTTTTCTCTAATTGTTCATGCATGTTGTTATTTTTGTCGGAAATATTATTCGCCTGGGGTTTAATCGGTTTCGAATTTTACAGGGCGAGTGACAAGTGTCAGAGGGAAAAGAGGAAGACCATTAACGGCGATGATTTACTGTGGGCAATGGCGACTCTGGGGTTCGAGGATTACATCGATCCCCTGAAGATTTATCTGAGCAGATACAGAGAGGTAATAAACTTCAGGATTTTAGCTGTGTGTATGGCGTATCTTATCGGTTAAGCAAGTTAAATAAAGTTTGGAGAAGCTTCTTTGCATTTCTGGCTCCTAGAAACAAACCTACTACCTGAAACGTCGAAATATTCCACGGAAGATAAGTCTGTAGGACTTTTGATTGGTTTGAGTCTTGCTTTTCAACTTTGATCTTTCACCGATGGTCTGATGTTGCTTTCCTTATTTTTTGTGGGGGCTTTCTCCTTGGACAATTGGAGTTGTTGCAGATGGAGGTTAGTTCATACTTTGACTGTCCCACTGCTTCAATAGCTATTCCACTTTCCAATTTTTCACATTCGATTCGACTTTTCTAATTTTTCTCATTGTCTTTACCCGTCTATGTTTTGTTTTTCAAATTGTGGCATATTAGGGTGATACCAAGGGTTCGGCAAAGGGTGGAGAAGTATCTACCAAGAAAGATGTTCAACCAAGTCCTAATGCTCAGGTATATATTGGTACATGCATCATGCATACTTTTAATTTTAATTGATAGAAAATTATTTACATGACAATGCCTGATGTTGACACATTTTATTGTAAATTCTACAGCTTGCTCATCAAGGTTCTTTCTCGCAAGGTGTCAGCTATACAAATTCTCAGGTAACCTCCCATTCTCTATCTCACGTGATATGTCTCTTCCTGAGCTTCTGTGGCAGCGTCATTTTTTTATAATAGAGAAAATGCTGAGTTTACAGTTTGGACTCATATCTTAATTGCATTTAATTGTTTTTTTGTTTCAAAATCTAAAATTAAATAGTTACTAGGCGCAAACAATTTGGTTTATGACAGTGATGGGATGCAAGACTTGATGACATATCCTTCATAGCAGGAGTTTCCAGGTTTAATTCCAGTGCTTCTGAAAAGATTATATTTAAGGCTTTGAATATGATTAAACAGTTCCATACTATGCCATCCATAATACAATTTTTATTTTTTATTAGAAGTCGCAATGCCAAACATCTATCTGAGAAGTAGTGCTTTATAATTCTTTACCATAAGATGAGCCGCAACCACAGCTGGCTTTTATTGCACTATATGTGCTGAATAGCAGTTTCTTGGTTTTTGTTGGCCTCATAAATTGAGGGCATAGGAAGCTGGTGCCTTGTTAGTGTCTTGGAGATTCTTATTCCTAATGAAGTATGCATAGCATGTAGAATGGAGAACCTTAAAAGCCGCAATAGCCCTGGACTTCTGTCTTTTCTCTATTCCATAAAAATTGATTGGGATACTCTATATCCTTGGTTGCAATTTTGCTTCCTTCTGGTTCTGACCTCAATAATGGGAATGGTAATTTATTCACTCAAAAAAAAGAGGCTAGTTGATCTGAAAGGCATGTGAATAATGGCTTTTGGTTTCATATAACCCTCCTCGTGGATGGATGCTATCTTTTTTAATCTTGGACGCAGTTTGGGCTTGCTAGCTCCACTCCTTATAATTATGTTTTGATTGTAGTATATCAAATGATTTACCAAGGTTATGAGAAAGGTATTCCATGTTTTCAATTTCATTAACTATTGTTGTTTTAGCTATCGTTGTTTGAAGTTTAAAATACTTTGGGATGCTGAGTTGTGAGATTTGGCCACTGCAGTGTCTTGTGCGATAAGTCTGCCTCCAGGCAGATGCCTTACGAGTTGATGTGTCAGAAGTGATCAAATCAAAATTATTTGGGTTCTTAAATTTAATGGTTCCCGTACTCAAAGATGTTGATGTCAGCATCTTTTATCCCAATCGCAGATTGTATTGCCCCATCTCCTTTGCCTGATGGGTTTTAAACCTGTCTTTCTTTGATACTTGCTTAGCGTCTTAACATTAAAACATGAAAAGTATTTGGGAAAATATAGCTTTTGGTCTTGAACTTTTCCTCAATTATCAATTCATTTTTTTAACTTTGACTCAATAGCTCAATCCCCATTGTTTTTTTGACTCAAAACAATTCAATTCTCATAATTTTTTGATTTAGTAGAACTTAGTCTTGTTTGGTTATTAGAAAGGAATGGAATGGAGTGGATTGAAAAAAAAAGGTGAAAAATGAGATGATGAAAAAGAATAGTAAACCACATTTATAAAGGAGAGGAGTAGTTTAATTTATAAGGTTGGAATTCATAATTCATTAGATTTTTGGAGGATATGATAATTCGTACATTTGTAGTATGTATTAATGAGTTTTATCATGCTTATCATGAGGAGGAAAGGTGATTTAGTTCATTTGTGTGTTAGTTTTTTTAATTTATTCTTTTCCATTTCTTTCTAGTAATCAAACGGGATCTTAATCTCTATAATTCTGTAACTTCATAAAATATAATAATTGAGTTGTACCAAGAGTTCAAGGATTAAATTAATGAGTGAGAGAATTAGGTATAAAGTTATTTCATCCCAAAGTATTTTATACCAAATTATTCTAGCATGGAAGTCTTGACTTTTTTTAGAATACCATATTTGGATTTTTTCCCTCTGTTGCGAAATTTTATGCTTTTGTGAAAATCGTAGTTTAAGGAGTTAATGTCAGCACAGTTTGATAGTTGACAGTTTCTCATGCATACTATTGATTTAACCTTTTCTTTGTCGGTAAAAATCAGCCTCAGGTTCAACGTATGATGGTTCCAATGCAAGGCCCAGAATAGGTGTATTCACACTCCGTCAATAAGTTGTGGGATTTGAATGTTATTGGAGATTTGGCAATCGCCAGTGGCAATTCGACATGTTTAGTGCATTTATGACATTAGGTGATGTTGGTTCTCGTTTCCGGATTTTTTTAATTTTCTCCCTTCGCGGTCTGTATATTATATTTGAAGCAGCATTGTTGTTTCATAGTGTTAATGTAAATGCCGGAACCAAGTATGCTTCACTGGTTCTATCTGGTGTTGTGGCGTACCAAATATTCTATTTTTGCCTTTGGATATCTGGAAGTATTATTTGCTCGTCACTACCAGTCCAGTCTTTTGTACTTGCTCGTTTTGGCACGAGAGCGCGCGCGCGCGCTGAAAATCCTTAGCGTTTTTACTTTATTTCTTGCATCGGCATGTATTGGGTTGAGATGTTTTGTCTTTTCTGTGTCGGCTGATTCTTCTTGGTCGGGAAAGAGAAAAAAAAAAAAAGAATCTAACTGCACGGGCGTTGTACTGGGGTTGTTCAAGGTGTTAAATGCAAGCTGTTCGAAGTTCATGAGTCACTACCATACGCCTTAATTTGTGTAAAAACGAAATGATCGAAACTCTTCAAATTTATGTTGATAATTAAAGCGCTTGCAAATTGCAACGGGTGGCCAGTTGAAAACTGAAAAGTGAGGGGTGCCTATGCCAATGCTGGGTTGCCATGTGGTTGGCGTGCGGCAGTATCGTGACCCTTTCCTCCCTCGATCCGTTTGGTCATGGTGGACGATAAAGCCATGCCTTCTCTTTTCTTTTCTTTTTCCCTATTATTTAATTAATATTTAGCTATTAGTGAGGCTTTTACCTTCCACTCCTAAAGTCTCTTGCCCCTTCAGTGCCTCTTGCGTATCATTTTTCTTACTCGGATTAGCACTGTTCTGTTATTTTTCGAAGTAAAGTAGGCATTATTTATTATTGACTCTGGTGTTCATCTATACTTCAGCGCTAGGAGCTGCCCTCACTTTTTATCTGTCTTATTTCACATTGACGCCAAAAGGAGTCCATTTATTTCGTTTCTTTAGAGTAGGAAGAAAATAAGAACAGAAAATTATAACAGAATACTAGAGGAAAAGAACATTCTTTACTCTTTATTTTTTTTTCCCTAATTTCCTTCCAGAATGAGGGGAGAGGGGGACTAAAGGAAAAATTTTATGCTGGGAAATTTATTTTATTCGCATGTTTGCTAAAGATTATATACTTAATGCAATTATTTTAACTGTTAACTTGATATTTTAATAAATGTAACTAATATGAATTAAATCATATATTAAAAAATGTTAGGTTAGGGTTTTCTTTCTGGGGCCAAGCACTTGATTTCTCTGCTTTTATATATGTAAAACATAGTTTTACGGAAATGCATTTTGATTATAAAAATAAATGCTTTTTTTAAATTATAAAAATAATCTTTCTTGCATGATTTTTCAAAGATGACCTAATAACTTGATTCCTATTTAAAATATATACAATTTATTCTTTAATATTTATAAATTTACGATTCTTAGTTCTTAGATACCAGTACAGTGACGACGGATGACTAAATACGTAAGATATTTTAATATATAAATCACAGATTGTCACTCATAAAAATTAAATAGGTGTATTTATATTTTTAAAAATTAAGTTAGCTGACAAGGAAACAGTAAACGATTACAAAAATATATGATTTCATTTATAATTATAATCTAATGACTAACTGATTGTATAATTGGAATATCAAAACTTCATGATTTGGAAATTTTGATTTGATACAAATCAAAATATAAGAAAAAATAAAAACATATTTTTATTATGAAATAAACAATTATAGATGATTAAAATGAAAATTAATCAAATTGTACATGGATAGTTTAGATTTATTAAATAATTATTTTCTTAATAATATAATAAACAAGTGTAAGTAATATTATTATTTGGAGTGTGTGTATAAAATATTATTCAAAATTTCATGATCAAAGATGAATTAAATCCCAAATCACGATTTCATTAATTAAAATATTAAAATGGAATGATTTGAAAATTAAATTATGATGTACAGTTTAATGTATATTTTTTTGGCTGGAAATGTTAAAAACTTTAAAATATAGTGTTTAGTTATAAAAAAGCAACCACATCTCAATTATAAAATTGTTAATGCTAACAAATTATTATGGATACACTAAGATATTTTAAATAAATCTAATATAAGTAAAAAAATTTTATGTTTCACGGGTTATTATTATAATATATTTTAAAATTATTAAGTATTTATCTGAATTTTGAAATTAAAACATTAACCCTAAACAATTCTCCAAAATCTTTTAAATTTAAAAATGTAAAAATTGACTCGTTCAAACTTCAAATTATTCTGTTTCGGCAGCCAAATTTATAATATCTGTTAATCAAATCATTCCCCTGTAAAATGATTTATGGAGGATTGCGTGATGAAAAGATCATAACAGAAAGAATTGAAGTTTTTGTCATAAAAAAAAAAAAAGAATTGAAGATTTTGAACACGAGTAGTTAGACATGTTCAATAATTATTGTGATAAAATATAAATAAAATAAATGGTTAACATGAAATAAAGATTTTAAAAATAAAAAGACAAATAATTCAAATTGAATATGAGTAGTTAGACATGTTCAAAAATTATTTTCTAATCAACAAACAATGGATTATAGGCAGTATTTTTTTTTGGAATGAGCACTAAATCTATACTGATTTGTTTCCTCGTTTGTTTCCTCGTGTTTCTGATTTTTATCATGAATCATATAAATCTAGATCAGGTGGAGTAATCGGTAGGATAATAACTAACAATTATTCCAGATTAAAAAGTAACGACACATCAGATACATAATTTATGAATAATAGAAATTATCCTCGAGATTAAGAGACAGGCAAGCCCAACCAATGGGCAAAGGAAAAAAAAAACTGAAGAGCAAAGCCAAGTGGCTGCAGTTCCCTTCTATGCTTATAGCTAGAAGAAAAGATTAGTTTCTCTAAATAATGTAGTTTAGTTAATTTAGTATCATTAATCCCTTGGGAAAGGAATAAACACATCAGACAAATAACGAAAATCATGAATTAACCATTTGGGCTAATTAAGATTCCAGGCCCATTGCTTCATCAAACGTTCTAACTTGGGTTGGACGATTGGCATCATCTAGTATTCTAGTCCACTAATCTGATGGTTTAAAATACATCACAAAAAAAGAATAGGATGCTTATCTTTGTGGAAACACCACTCAACCCTCAGCTAATCGGTTTCGTATTTGATTTGGATCACACGATTTTGGAGCTGCATCGAGATTCATTTTACGTCATAAGCAGACAATCAGTATCTCAGTATGAGGTTTACTTAGGATTAATATCTTATGCATTACGATTTACACTACATCCGTGTGCCTCCCTGGCCTTTGCCTATACATATTTTTATTTTTGTTGGGAAAACTTAAGTTTCTCTTTCCGTCATCGCTGTTCTCGTAGAAACCTTAATTTAATCTCTCTGGACTCGGCAGAATTCGGCGATGAAGTGAGACGAAGAAGAAGCGAAGGGAAGGAGAAGAACAGCCTTAATATTACCATAACATATTTTTTTTTTCTTCCATAGAAAACTGGTTCTTCGTCTTTCTTTAAGACCGATTAACCACTACTAGGTAACTCAACCATAAACCATTGAACCTTTGAGGTTGAGTCTTCAACTTCCTCCTCACTTTTTCGGTTTTTTTGGCTGTCATTGCTGTTTACAGTATGATTGCTTTGTCTCTTTTACCTGTGGATTTTTTCGTTTACAAATGATCAACGCTGGACGTGTTTGCATATTATGTATATGTGTACATGTCAATTATATGTGCCCTCTGAGTGTTTCCGTTTCCTCGCCCATCATTTTTGCTTTTGAACTTGTTGTGTTTAATTTGTTTAGTGCCTGAGAATTGAGTTTTCCCTAAGAGCGTTCGGTGTCGGTTATCTTTCGAGTAGTACGAGTTTGTCCTTCCTTTTTCATCGATCACTTTCCTATCGATTTAGTCTTTTGTCTCTGATACGATTGCCTTACTGGGAAAGAGGTGTCACGAACGCTGTATCACATTTTTGTTACGATCCTGATGGCTAAATGCAGGGATTAATTTTGAAGATAATAGGAAATAATTTCCAATGGTCTATAGGGACGAACCTTTAACAATAGAACTGAGGTTGTTCTAGATTGGTCTTGAATACTTCTGCAAGAGGAAAAGAGCAGAGTATCCTTTGTTTCTAAATTAAGATTCATTTGGGATGCCTTTGTTTAAGAATTTGTGGTAATGAATGACAATCTGAAAAAGATTTTGAACTGCACAGGTGTCTATTTGCATTGCTGGATAAAAACAATTAATGGAAAATCGAGGCCAGAAGCGCCCAGAAATGGTAGATGAACTACCTGCTGATAAACGGGTGTGCAGTGCATTGGACTTGAGACCGAGTTCCTCTAACACATCAAATCAAATCCATACCGATTCCACACAGTCAATGCTGGAGACCCATGATAATGACATGGATACTTCATCATCTGCCTCAGCTTCAAGTCGCTCAGAGGGAGAACCTGAAAAGGATTCAGCTTATGGGTCATGTGATTCAGATGACATGGAACAGCATTACTACAGTCTCCGAGGCTACCATCGGCAGAGATTATCTAGCGATCATGGGAAGTTCAAAAAACTTATATCAAGTCTGAGTGAAGAGACTGAGCCTTCTGCTCAATTAGCTGTTCTTACAGAACTTTGTGAAGTTTTGTCATTTTGTACAGAGGGTTCACTCTCCAGCATGACCTCGGATTCATTATCACCGCTACTGGTTAAGCTGGCAAAGCATGAGAGCAACCCAAACATAATGTTGCTGGCTATAAGGGCTATCACCTATATATGTGACGTGTATCCTCGATCAGCTGGAATCCTTGTTAGTCATGATGCTATTTCTGCTTTATGTCAAAGATTATTGGCTTTTGAGTATCAAGATGTAGCTGAACAGGTTATTCATGGTTGTTTATTTGCAATATATCTAATTGAATTTTTGCCCTTATATAGTATGAAAGGAATATATGGTTATAGATCTTGTGTTAATGTAGTGTCTCCAAGCATTAGAGAAAATATCCCGAGAGCAACCACTTGCTTGCTTACGTGCTGGGGCTATTATGGCTGTTCTAAATTACATTGACTTCTTCTCAACAAGCATTCAGGTAAGCCTCAAACTCAACATGGCATCATCCTTGTGGAAGTTGGCCCTTTTTACAAAAAACTTTTAAATCCAAGAATTTATCGGCTTTAG